CAGTATTTGGTTATTTTTTCTAGTTGTTTCTCTTCAATTCGTGCATCACCCAGTATTGCAATATCAATGAAACATACTTTTTCTTTTTCTTATCATTATGCTGTTATTGTTGAAGTGGTGGAAGTAGTGATGGTGAAACTGGCTCAAAGTCACTCAGCTGGCTTTCATGAGTAAGGCAGGAATAGAATTCATGGTCCCCTGGTTTCAAGACCTTCACCACTATAAGTAGCCCCTTGAATAACAATCGTGGTGGAGTCTGCTGTAACTCAGAATGGTTGCTAAATGACCGGTCGTTAAGTGAGGACTACTGTACACCAAACTAGCATGCAGCAAAGGAGAGGGCCAACCTGCAGGATCATCTCTCTTCCCAAGTATTCCTTTAGACTCCAACTGTCTTCCCCCCCCCCCCCGCAGCTCTTTCAGAGAATAGAAATGGCGGGCACTGCAACTTGTGCTTTGTTTGGAAATTGTCCCATGGCTGGGGAAGAATAAAAGGGTATCTGCAATACTCGGCCATGGGAGAGGCAGAACAAGCGACATTCTGGTCAATTATTTTCATGCTTATCTGCTAGCCATTTTGTGAGACCACAGGTAGTGTGTTGTGCAAATCTCAACTATGCATGTCAGTCCACATCAGCCTCCCCCCACCCTGAAGTGGAGGTTCCTGGGGGAGGGGAGGGCTCTATCCTTCCTCCAGGCCAGAGGAGGAGAGACCACCTGTCCACACCTTCTTTCCTCTCTCGCAGATGGCCTTGAAAAGCTACCGCAATGTTTGGCACAAGGCGAAGATGGCCAGTCACCAGCTGCAGGTGCTTCTGCCCGAACAGGAGAGACGCAAAGCAACAGAGGTGGGGAAGGGGACCCTCACCTGGCCTTTGATGGGAAGGGGGGAACCAGGAGCCCCTCAGCACAGCGGGGCCTTCTATGGCCTTCCATTACCTCTCTTGGGTGCCTCCCCCCATTTCTCTTTCTAGTTTGACCTCTCCACCCCATGGTATTCCCCCCCCCCCCGCCTAGTTTCTTTCTTTTGAAGAAAGGGCTTGGCAGTAGAGCTGCACAGCTGAGCTAAAGTCACACCCAGCTTCTTCTCTCCGCAGGGCCTCTAGAGAAATAAGGAAAAGGGGGGCAGAAGAAAACTCGCAAGCCTTCTGCTGCACCCCTCGCCTCTTCGTCCTGATGCAGACCTTCCTCCTGATGATCCCCCCCCCCCACCAGACCAAGGCAGGTTTTGGATAGGCACGAAGCCCCTGGAGGTCACCAAGAGGGAGGCTTTCTCCATGCTGCCTCAGACCTCAAGGCTTCTGTTTCTTCCTCTGCAGATTGGCTTTTAAAGTCTGTTCAGAAACTGATCTGTCTGAAGCTATGAATAGATCCCGATAGACCTGCTTGACTGCAGAGCTATGAAGTTTATTCAAATCACTCAGCAATATGAGAATGAATAAAAGGAGTGGTAATGCATCCAGACTCCACGTGTGCAGGGCTAAAATTGAGCCTTTTGGGAAGTGGGGGAAGGGGACAGAAACCTTCAGGCCAGACATTCTCCAAAGAGAGGCCCTAAAAGCACCAAGCAGAAGTGCAGCTGCAATGGACAGCTTGCTGGGTGGATTTCCCTGCCAGAGCCTGAGAAAAAGTGGGAAGGGAGAAGCAGCATCAGAGCTATTCAAGGTGCACATCCAGAGGAATCGGATCTCAGGGCCCTACAAGAACTCAGCCCTCTTTCCTTCTCACCCGTCTTTTGCACTTCAAGGGAGGGGCCTACTGCATGGGCCCAAATGAAGGGCAAAGGCAGTCAAGCCACCGGCCGCAAACTGCCTGCCCTGGGGAGAGGCAATCAATTGGGTCCCCAACAGCTTAGTGGGCGAAGAGACCTGAGAAGGACTGAATGGGAAGATGGATTTGGATTGTCCTCCATTGTCAGAGGATGCTGCCTGGGTCAGAACTTTCCAGCACAGGCTTCTTCTCTATGCAAGAAACACTAAAACAAAACAAAAGTGACAGGTTGGAGGCAACATCTAAAAGTGTCCAGAATACTTAAAATCTTGTGTGAAGTTTCATGGTGAGAAATCTTTAGCAGGAGATGCCTTCTGTAAATTTACATGTTGTAAGTTAAACAGGTTGAAATGGGGGAAAAAAACTAAAATATGAGAATATAAAGAAATGCTCAGTTGAAAACAAATATATAACCCAATTTTTTCTTAGCCTGCACAAAGAAAATACCTGGCCAAATGTTTGAGAATAAATGCAAGTGGACTCAATAGGAGTTCACAATCAGAAATGAAAGGCATCCAGCTACTCTCCCTGGCTCTTCAGCTGCTTCAGAGGAGCCACATGGCGCCCTTCAGAGGAGGAAGAGGGTGGAGACCATGGATGCAAGAAGCAAAATGGGGGCTGCATCTCCTCCCTCCTGGTCTTTTGGACAGTGAGCAGGGTCACACCAGCTCCCCCCTGCCTTAATCCTATCAGATCCAAACGGATCCCAGAGATAGCACCCCCAAAACCTCCGGCTCCCAGAGTTGCCCTAAGAAGGGCAACAGCACCGAGCAGAGAAATCCAAGGACTTTCTGTCCTGTAGTTCTTGGCTTCTATAAGAATCACAGGGCTGAAAGGGACCTTGGAGGTCTTCTAGTCCAACCCCCTGCTAGCAGGAGACCCCATCACATTCCGGACAAATGTCTCTTCTTAAAAGCCTCCAATGATGAAACACCCACAACTGCTGAAGATAAGGTGTCCCACTGATTAATGGTTCTACGTACGAGAGACTCCAATTAAGCCCCAGTTTAAAGCTTCATTTTAACATGTATGTTGCTAGATTCTATGTTTGATTCATTTCCTAATTGCTGGAGAACAGTGGCACAAATGCCCAGGTGCAGCCTTTGGGCAACTGCAGAGAGGTTCAGTGCCATGTGCTAAAGGGCACTGCTGAACATGAGGGCAGAGATGGCAGCCAAAGCCTTTACGGGTCACCTAACCAAACTGGCATTTCAAGAAGATGGAAAACTTTCTATGAAGGAGAATATTTGTAGCTCAGGGTTGAAATGAGTTTGGGTAAGGAAACAGCCAAGCTCAGAGAACACCAAGGACCCTCATGGAGGAGTTTGTTTTCCAGAATTTCATTGGGCTTTAAGAGATTTTAAAATCCGGAGATGGGGGGGGGGGATCCAAACACCTCATCAGGCATGAGGTTCCAGCTCAGAGTTGTGCCCTAAGAGCAAAGTTGTGGACCAAATCCACAATTGGCACAAGGTGTAACAGGATTCCCCACCTTTGGGGATCAGAGGGGGTCTCTGCACCTGGTGACCACTGGTCCAAGTCTAGCAAGAGGCAGCTTTTCGTCCTGCAAAAGCTCAAGTAAAGGCACATCTCATTAATAATAGGACACAAAAAGGGGTTTAATGGACGGGGACATCTAGCTGTGGCCATGGGGTCAAAGCCCCCTGCATGAGGGATGCAAAGACAGGCTGCCATGAAGCTTCTCGGGGTTGATGCTTTGTGTTCTTCCCTCTCGTGAGGTCCCAACTTCTCATAGGGCGAGGAGATCCAGGAGGATAAAAGGTTCTCCCAGGAGAAATCTCCTCTCGGGGGCCAGGAATAATCTGCTTGGCCAGAGCTTTAGGAAGCCAGGAGGTGCAGCAGGAGGCCCATGCAGAGGAGGCCCTGCAGCCCCCGTTGTTGGCCCGTCTTTGCTGAAGAGATGGCGAGCAGCTCCCCCCCATAGTAGTCGTAGTAGAGTGGAGGGTTTGCTCGTCCCTCGGGGGGGCCTTCCAGGGAGCCCAGGCTGTCCTCCTCCAGCTCCTCCGAAAGGTTCAGGCTGAGGGGGTCTTCTGAAGCATCGGAGACATTGAAGGCTCTCAGGGCCAAAAAGGGTTCAAAGAGCAGCCTCGCCTGTTCCGCTGGGCTCCCAAAGGCTGGATGCCTTTGGCCAGGAAAGGGGGATGCTGGAGCCCCCCATTTGGCCATGGTGGCCACGATCCAGCCACTGTAGTAGATGAGGCGGCTGTAGAGGAAGGGCCCATAGCATCTGGTGCCCCCTTCGCTCAGCAGGCCCTTCAGCACCCGCCTTCCTTCTGCCTCACACAGGACCGGGTTGCCAGCTGACCCCTTGGAGAGAAGACACAGGTCACAATTTGAGGCCCTTTTGGACCATCTGAGACACAACTAGTTGACCTCATGGAGCCCAACTCCCCCTTCAGGGTGGATGTCTTGGGGACTTGGGGCCCCCGCAGGAGGAAAAGAGAGCAGCCGAGTGAACAAGGGGAGTCTTGCAGGGTTTGAAGAAAGGAGCCCATCAGCCCAAATGTCCACCCGAATGTCTCTCAGAGGGGCTTGAGGTTCCTGATGGCCACTCACAAGAGGGGCACAAGCAAATGACTGCACATTAAGCAGAAAGCTCTGCCCCCTTGAATAATTGCAATGCAAATGCAGATGATCCTCTACAGCGAGCTGAATCCAGCCTGCGATGTGGTTGGATCCGGCCCACAGGACCCTCCTGGAAAATGTAAGGGGTCTCTTTGGACCGGTCCACCCAGTGCAAAGAGGAAACATTGGGCCAGCCGTTTGGGGAGTGGTGTCAAGCTAGCCACGCCCACCCTGGTTGGTCCCCTGAAGTCAACCACAATCCTGATGCAGCCCTCAATGAAATTGAGTTTGACACCCTGCTCTACAGTATACAATTGTTTTGTCCGAAGGCCAAAGAGAGAGAAGTTACTGAGTTCTTTAACCTCAGATGCTTGCAAGAGAAACATGGCGAAGTACGTCCTTGCTTTCTGGCAGATTCTTGCTAAGTGCAAGCTTGCTTGAAAGAGCAGGAAAAGGTGGCCCTCTGAAGCCCCCAGTGGGATCAAGGGGAGGGTAATGGGCCTCCTTACCAGACAACCAGGCACTCGGTCACCTTCCCGATGGCTGCAACACTCCGTGCTGACGGTTCTGTGCAAGGGGCAGGGGTCCACATCTTCCACCGAGAGTTTCTGCAGAGGACCAGTCCCTGGGGAGCCAAAGCAGCAAAGAACCTCCATGAAGTTGTAAAGATTGGCAAACTATCCTCCATTGCATCTGGCTCTCCCTTTGGGGCAGCTGGGGAGGTTCGCAGGAAGAGCACTGGCTCACCTCCTTGAGAGTCCGGCCAGCCGGCCACAAAGCATTTACTCAGTGTTGCCCCTGGGAAGTCTGGGGTGGGGAAGCAGACGGGCTGTACGGCAGTGCTGAAAGGGAGCGGAGTGCTTGTCTTCAGCAGAGCGATATTGTGCACCAGGGTTATCTCGTCAAAGGCCTCGTGGGGGACGATGGTATGGATGGGCACCGGAGATTCGCGCGGCCCTTTTGGATCTGAACCTCCAGCCAGAGCGGAGATCTGGGTCCTGGAAACAAAGGAGGGTCACCAAGAAACAGCAAAAAGTCTGTAGCGAAGCAAAACGTCTTCAAAGATAGAAACAAGAAAGCCCCGTTGCCTCCTGAAAAAGCATCTTTGGGACAAGAAAGAGCAAGGGTGCTGGAGGAAACATGGATTGTCCAGGTCACCTTTCCAGATGGGCTTGGCCAACTTCTTCTGGCACATTTCCTGGGCTGGAGGAGCAAAGTTTTATCAGATGAATGTCCACTGCCTGGAGATGGAGATGGAGAGGAAAGTTTGCCTGTTTAAAGCTAGTGACTGCAAATAGCAGAGAAGACGCAGGAACCACAGGGTCAAATTAGAATTTTTTCATTAGGATCCTGGCTGAGAGTAGAAACTTAGATTCTCCCACGTGCTTCAAAAGTGCTAAAGGGAGCAGCCTGGAAGGGCTGGGGGGGGGCAGGAAGGCTCTACCTGGCTGATCGCTGGTGTGGGGGGGTGGTGGGGTGGTCGAAAGCAGGAACAGGGCTGGGCTGAGGACCAGTTGGGACCAACAACAACTGATGGGCCCTTCCCGTTTCTTTTCTAGCGCCAAAAGGACAACAGAAATAATGTAAACAAAAAGTTTTTAAAATAAAAATAAAAAGATAAACCCCAAACAAACTGAAAATATAAACTAAAAAAGAAAAGAGAGAAAAATGCATCTAACTTATATTTTATACTTATCAATAGTTTTTCCTCCATTCAATCATGCCGGCTTCTCAGAGACCGGACAAATCCCTGCAGCTTTCTTAGCAACATTTTTTAAAGTGCCATTGCCTCCTTCTTAGGGCTGAGAGAAAGTTACTGGCTCAGAGTAACTCAGCTGGCTTTGTGCCTAAACCAGAACTAGAACTCACATCCCCCAGTTTCTAACCCAATGCCTCAATTTCTACCCCAAACTGGCTTGTATCAATAGTTATTGGTTGACTAATATATGCACCCGTGCAAAATAATCAATAAATACAATCATTGTAGAAGAATTCTACCAAAATAACCCATGGTGCTGTACCATTTAATTAGCAGAACATGCTGCCTTTTCCAGCTGTACTGAGTTGCTTGAAACAGCCGCTACCTCCCGCCGTAGACTCCCTTCCACCCTTCCTCCTCCTGGCACCTGGTACGTTGCCATCTGCTTCTTTCGCCCCCAGTGCTGTAAAGGACAGAGGTGGGAAGAAGAAGAAGATGGCAAACCAGCCATTTGGCTTGACTGGCAGTTCAATTTAGGGAGTTGTACACACCCGGCTAGCCAGGGCAAGTAGCAGTGGGACCAAGCAATAGCAATAGCATTTAGATTTACGGTATTTACCCCTTCATAGTGCTTTACGGCTCCCTCTGAGCAGTTTACAGAGTCAGCCTCTTGCCCCAAACTGTCTGGGTCCTTGTTTTACCCACCCTGGAAGGATGAAGGCTGAGTCAACTTTGAGTTGGTCAGGATCGAACTGGCAAGGAGCTGAATTAGCCTGCAAAACTGTATATTCTAACCACTGTGCCACCACGGCTCCAAGCAGCATTCATATTTATTAAGTGTGCTTCAGGGGACACAGTAATGGTGGCATAAGCTGTTGCTTCACTCAATGCAGGTCAAATCCATAAACATTTTTTGCAAAAAAATCTAAAACAAGAGCCAGTGGTTTTTTTAAAAGGATCCCATGGGCCTGGGGAATGGCAGGGAGCTAAGCACAGACATGGGATGGGAAATGGGAAATGAGCAGGATTTGGAGAACCTGTACCATCTTGGTTGCTCATGACTCCTAAGTATCTCAAAATAATTGTTTAAAAGTGGTCTCTCGTGTTCCACCGGGATCTCAAGGGCTGCGTTTGTGTGGGTGTAAAATCCCAGGATGGTCGCCAAGGGCCATCTTGCCTGCTTGCTTGGAATGAGGTTCTGAGCATTACCTGCCGTGGAAACTGGAGGCTGCGCTTAGGATCCAGTCTTGACTTAGGATGGAACCAAGTGCAATGTGGCTGCCCTGATCCTGCAGCGAGACCAGCCAAGGGAACTCACCGACAGCAGCAACCTCTTGAGCAGAGTTTGTGGGAACTAAGCTGGCTTGTCTGCCGCAAACTGCAGCTTTGGGAAAGAAATGTGCAAGTCCGTCATCAGGGCCTCCTCGCCCTCACCTTAAGTTTTTGCATTTCTTCCCCATTTCTCCAACTACAGCATGGGTCCCCAACCCCTGCTCCTTAGACCAGCACTGAGCCACAGCATGCCAGAAACCTGGCCACACAAACAAGTGAAGCCCCATCTGCGGCATGCAGGCAGCACACAAAACCAGTTTTCTGTGGGAAAACTTCTCTCCACGGAACCGGCCCCTGGGACCCCAAAGGTTGGGGCGGGGGCTGATTTGCGGGATGCTCAAAGGACACAGCTGCATTTGACACCATTCTTTCTGCTATGATTTGTCCCTTGCACTTCCTGCAATGTTGCCCTTGTTTCTGAGCGCTCATTAAATTGATGAGTAGAAATTCTCTCCCAGAGCCCCGAGCTTTCCTTCCTGGCTTCCTTTCAAGGAAGGGTGGGGGGCGTTTGCACCCTTTTGGGTGGTACACCTTTTGTGCCCATTCCAGACTGGGAGGCTCTGCTCACGGACATTTATGCCCTCATACCCTCTTGTTTGGACCACTGCAATGCACTTTACATGGGGCTGCCCTTGAAGAGCATTCGGAAGCTTCAACTGTACAGAATGCAGCTGCACAGGTAGTGAAGGGTCCTCAGACATGCAATATGTATAACACCACTACTGTGTCAGCTGCATTCATTACTGGAATGTGCAATTCAAGGTGCTGGTTATGACCTCTAAACCCTACAAACTTTGGAGTGCCTTACCTGGAGTGTCTTTTCTCCATGGTTTCTACCTGTCCTGCCTGGCTGCTGCAGGTCCTGACTTCCAAGGAATATTGGCTGGCATGGACCAGGCGATGTTACTTTTCTGCTGCAGCTCCTGCCCTCTGAACCGTCCTTCAGAGACTCAGATGGCCCCGACCCTCTTGGCCTTTTGTAAGGCCTTAAAGATTTGTGTGCCCAGCCTGTGTGTTAAGAGCCCCGTTTCTTGGCTACGACAATTATAATAATTTCCTCAGCAGCTGCACATATTGATGTTTGTACTGTTTATAACGGTTTTAGAAATGTTTGCTGCCCAGAATAACTGGATTGAGATGGGCAGCTATAGAAAAAAAATCAATTTACCTTCTTTTCATGGTCAGTATTGCCAATCCCGATTCTAGGAAACACAAGCAGTCGTTTCACACAATGGGCGCCCCTCTGACAATCACGTTTGCCCATTGTGTGAAATGGCTGTTTCTTAGAATTAGGATTGTCAGTACTGACCATGAAAAGAAGGTTATTCATTCATTTCTGTAGCCACCCAATGGCAAAGTTTCTGTGACCGTAAAAGTTGAAGGGAAGACGAATTAGCAACATCAAAGCAGCAAGGAAAGGATTGAAAAATGCTTCAGCGATTGGGAAGGAAACGTCCACCCACTCAAGCAGTTTATCCAGTCTCGCTTCTGTCCTGCCTGCACAGGATCTGGCAGTGGCAGCAGAAGGCCGTCCTGGGCACAAACAGGCACAACACTGTTTCTCCATGACTTTGTGTCCCTCGTACCTCCCAACTCCAGCCTCTGCCCAAAAACTCTCGTTGCGGCCCTCTGAATTAGGGGCAAGGGAGGTTTATCTGGGTTCAGGAGCTCCACTCACCGGCTCCTCCAGAAGGAGGCAGGATGAAGACCGAGAGAAGAAGCAGAAGGCTGACATGCCGGCCCTGTCAAAGAGAGGGAGGGTGAATTGGGGAGAGGGGCAGTTCTGTGCCTCCGTCCTCACCCACAGGCCCAGCAGCTCTGGTCAGATGGGCAGCTTCAGGACCCCAAGAGGAGCCGCTGGTCAGTGGTTCCCATGGAGCATTTCTGGGCAGGCTGAGTCTGGAAACGGTTGGCTTCTTGTGGGGGTGGCTGTGCTTGGCTGGTTCTATGGGCTTCCTCAGGAAAAAGAGTAAACAGAAGGCACCTTTCTCCAGAGGACAAGAGGCTGCCTCTCCTCACCTGCATTCGAGGAGACAAGCACGTTAGGGGGGCGGGGGCTTGGGTGAAGTCTACACCCTGCATTCACAGCCACTGGGTGGGTTACAGCAAGATCCCAACCGTTCTGGCCAGGGTGAAGCAGGGAGTCCTGGGCTCAGTTTTCAGCGTGAGGATCTTTGGTGGAGAGATCAGTCAGGGGAGAAAAGGGGCCTCTGGCAATCCAGAGTTTGGAAGGAGAGCCGATAGGGAACTTGCCCCCTGGGCAGAGGGCAGAGTCTTTACCAAAGAGCTTCTCACTGGGTCTCGGGAGCGCAGAGCTTCTTCCCTCTTTTGTTTGAGACAGAAATGGGATGTCTCTTTCATTCTGCATTGCCCAGGGTGGCAGGACTCCTCTTCTGCTAAGGTTCCCTGTTGGTTTGTGTTTCCAGCCTCTGTTAAGACATCATGGTTGCCATGGCACCAGAATTCTGCCTCTTCTCTGTCATTGGCAGAGAGGTTTCCCCATTTGCTATGAGCAGCCAGCTTGAGGGGTAGGAGGACACAGGTAATGCTGGGCCAGGGGGCCTCCTTTTTCTCACCTTCCAGCTGTTGATCCAGCAGCTTTTGTGAGGCTTCTGGCCTCTTTTTCCACTGACTTATTGGGTCTTCATTGCCAGCAATCCAATCCATTGCCGGCAAGGCTGGGTTATATCACCCAAGATCTTCCTTCAAGGAGTTTCTATGGCTCCCCAAAGAAGCAGGAAGATTCCAATTGCAGACAGACAATTGTTAGAAAGTGTTTGGCAAAGACCTGGATGCGGTGATGGGTTGCAAATGGGAAGGAGCAGAAGTCATGAGGCTGGTAATCCTGGGGGTCTCCTATCCCATCATTTGGATCTGAAGGCCTTTTGGGACAATTATGTATGGCAACCCTTACTCGAAACGGGTAGCCTTTAGTTGTAATTTACTCTTAAAATAAATTTTAACAATTTCCTTAAATAGTTTTTAGTTGTGTTTGTGTATTTTGACAGTGAATATATTTTCGAAATAAATCAAGATGGCTCGAGTAGGGGTAGGTGAGAAATGTTTGCAAATCCTTGGCTTCCAGATTACAAGCAAAATAATTAAGAATTTCTAGGTATAAATGAAAACGTCTTCTTCCATGTTATACAGGTAGTCCTCAACATACAACCACAAAGAGCCCAAAATTTATGTTGTTAAGTTAAAAATTTGTTAAGTGAATTTTGCCCCATTTTACGACTTTTCTTGGCACATTTGTTAAGTGAATCACAGCAGTGGTTAAATGAGTAACCCGGTTGTTAAGTGAACCTGGCTTCCCCACTCCCTTTGCTCGTCAGAATGTTGCAAAAGTGACTCCGGGATGCTGCAACCATCATAAATGTGAGTCAGTTGTCAAGCACTCTTCTCTTTCAGGACTGATAATGGCACCCTCACCACATCGGCCACTTTTGAAGACCTGGGCAAGGCGAGAGATGGCAGATGGTTCCCTTGGTCCTGTCGGCCTTTCAGTGTCTTTGGTACCATCCATTTCCCCCACCACCACCACCTCTTGAATGAACTGCAAGGCTTAGCAGTGATGGGCCCTGGTCCCACAGGGAGGGGGGGCATCTTGGGACCCTCTGTTGTGGGGTGCCCCAGAGCTCCCACTCTCCTTATTGAATCCCTGTATGAGGCCACAGGGAGCAGCCATCCATTGGCACAGGCTCAGTTGGTGGATAGCACTACGATTTACCCCACATCATTTTGTATAATTCAGGGAGCTGTGCAAGAGGCCCCTTCTTCCATTTCTCCCCCAAGAGCAACACTATGGGCCCAGCCAGACTACCTGACTGAGGGAGGCCAAGGACTGCTAGTCCCCAGCATCTTCCCCATTGGGCCAAGCTGGCTCTCTTTCTCAATCCTGGCTGAAGAGGAGATGTGGCGGGAACCTGATGCCAGGGCTTGGGAGCTGTTCAGATCGGTGGGCACAGGTTCAATCCTAGTAGGATGGTGTTGCTGCTTTAAAACTCAGGTGCCCAAAAGGGGTGGAGCTGGAAAGAACCCAGTCCCTGAATTTGAGAAAGATCCAATAACCTTGTAAAAGGCGATTTTCACCCTCCCGACCCAACAAATAAAATCCCAAATATTTCAGGAAAGCAAAAAGGGTTTATGAAGAGGGCAGTCAAAAGTCTTTATATATAAATGATACATACATTCAGTATACGTGATGTGTCAGAAAGTAATGACTCAAACCAAACAATAAAAGACATTAATCAGATGTGAGGATTAACAATAGAAATTGATTTCAGATAACAATTCACAAATGCTTAATTTATGGGTTAAATCACTCCTTTTCCCGGTCAGATTTTTATCTTTCTTAACACAGATCAATCCTTGACGTACAACTACAGCTGGGACCAGAATTTTCATGGCTAAGCAAGGCAGTTATTAAGTAAATTGCAACCAATTTTATGACCTTTTTTGCCACAGTTGTTAAATGAATCACTTGCAGTTGTTAAGCGAATCATGTGGTCGTTAAGCAAATCTAGGTTCTCCCATTGACTTTTTGCTCTCTTTTTATTTTGGGTGGTATAGACACTGATTGAAGAAATAGATGTGTTTTCAACGTGCCTTAGAGGATTTGTTAAGAATCCTTGCAACCATGATGACTTTTCAAAATCTATGTTCTTCTATGATTTTGAATGTTTGGATGAACCATCTTATTTATACCGTGTTTATATTGTATAGGACAGGTCCCCTGTTGGCCCGGTGGTTAGAACGCAGTATTGCAGGCAATTCTACCCACAGCCTGGAGTTCAATCCTGACCAGCTCAAGGCTGACTCAGCCTTCCATCCTTCTGAGGTCGGTAAAATGAGGACTCAGATTGTTGTGGGCAGTATGAAAATATTGCTGGCATTAAACCGACCAGGGAGTGCTGTAAAGCGCTATGATAAATGCTAAAGGCTACAGCTATCGTGTATACAACTTCACAAAAGCCTCAAGGGTCCTTATTTATTCTATGACTATTGCCAGGGGATTCCGCTGGTTCTACTGAAAATTTCAATTCCTATGCAAAGCTGATAGTTCTAAAAGATTTCTAGACAGAGCAGGATTATCTTCTTGCAACAATCAAGCTTGCATCATGGAGGCCACTGGTTGCAGCAAGCAATGGTCCTTCCTCTAGAGCAGGGGTGTCAAACTCAATTTCATTGTGGGCCGCATCAGAGCTGTGTTCGACCTTGGGGGATGGGTGGGAGTGGCCAGGGTGGGCGTGGCTAGTTCAGCATCACTTGTGTCGGCACCAGTGGCGGGCCAGGCGCTCTGCCAGGGAAAACAGGGTCCTGAGCTTCGTTTTTGGCTGCGACGGCCTCCTGTAACCCTCTGCCAGCGAAAACAGTGCTCAGGAGGGCCGCACGCAGCAATCCTGAGCTCTGTTTTCACTGGCAGAGGCACTGTGGCCCAGTCCTTCAGTGTTTCCAGGACGGCTCCGTGGGCCAGATCTAAGTACCCCACAGGGCGGATCCGGGCCCCAGGCCTTGCGTTTGACACCCCTGCTCTAGAGCCCTGTGACCGACTTCATTTGGGAAGGTGAAGCTAGCTTGCCCTCGGAAGCCAACATACACTTGCCCAGTTGAAGAGAGGAGGCCAGACTGGCAACCCAGTGGTGAGCGACTCTATCTGAGAAATGTTTTCTGTTGCACCAAATTCTGTGTGGCTGAAGAAGTTATAACTCCATGTGTCCTTTCTCTTTGGCTGCCTTTTCCGGCAGGGTCTTGGTCCAGAAGGCCACGGCTTTCTCTTTCAGTTTTCTTCCCACCTTTTGCTTTACGCCTATTTCCAGATACTGCTCACTCAGGTCGTACCTGGGCCAGGTCACCAAGCCAGCTCCATTGGGGTTCCTAGAGACGGTTTAGCAAAGGGGGGGAAATTCCCGATACGTCACGTGACACCACCATGATGATGTGAGTTTGACACCCTGCTCTAATATGACCAGCCTCACTGCTGAAGTCTTAGAGCTCTGGTGCTCCTGGAGGTGATGGGTGCCCTTAGGAGACAATTTGGAAGGGGACATTCTCCGTAGCTATTAAGTCCAATTTATACCAGTTGTATAATCTACCTGAGTAGTAAATTTATGGACATGTGCAAAAATTCTGTGACTTACCCACTGCGAGCAAAATTAGCCCAGTATTTCATAATCACTTTGCTGAGCATTTTATCTTCTTCTGTTGCATTGTCTGCAGGCAGGAATATAAGGATGGTGTCAGAAAAAGAATTACAGCTTTGGATTGTTTAAAAGATAAAGAATAAAATCCAGAAGTAATATCAGCACCTTGAGAATCTCAGTAAAATGCAACTTTTGCCAGGCATGTATTATTATTATTTCATCAGACTCCTGATTAGCCTTTACCCACTCCTCACATGGCATCTGAGAACTCAACCAAACCTGGATTCAAAACACAGCCTAGTGCATGGCCCCATGGGAGTCTGACAACCAATCAGAATACAAGATCAAGATCAAAGGTCAGAGAGGGCATAAAACCGGGGACTTTCAGCATCTCAGCTCTTCTTTGCTTCTCCACCCAACAATGAAGTATGTGATCACCTTTTCTGTTCAGGACTCAAGCCATGTGGTCCTGTCCACCATTAAACCATCTTTCCATGTCTCCAGTGTCTTTTCCCCACTTGGAGTCGAACCCAGAAGGACATTTCTTTCAACACCTTCCTCACCCTGGTTTCCTTTCAACCCATATTGGCAAAGTTGGCCTGCTAATAAGTTGCAGGTGGAACAAAAGCAGTTGGTCCCTCTCTGCTGAGAATCCAGAAAAGGTGGTGGCCCTTCTCTCAGCAGGAATGGGCCCACCGCCTTTAGGTTGGGCCAGTGCTCCAGACTCACCTGTGAAGAAGGGCTTCCCAAAGACAAAGCCAATTTCATCCCCATGGTCCACTTTAGTAAAGTCTGGCCTGAGGCTGTTGCATTCACTCAAACGATACTGCAGTTCATAGATGTAGGCCGGATAGCCGGCATCTGGAAAGACAAGAATGTGGCACAGAGCCACCATCTCTTATTCTCCAGGATTTGCTCTACCACAGCCAGATCCCGAAAGACGCAATTCTGGGTGATTCTGACCATACACAGGGAGCCCATGGATGGGAATGATTAGGAGCAGTTGAACACAGCTTGAGCTACTTGTTATCATGTGTGTGTGTGTGTGTGTGTGTGTTTGTGTGTGTTGTATTTGTGCTGATAAATAAATAAAGGGAGACTAGTATAGATCTATTTCAAGTTATTTAGCTCTCATCAGTAAGCCATACTTACTGGGATTCGAACCTGGGCTGTATTACATATTAGGCAGATGTGTTAACCACTAAGCCACAAGGTTCTCCTCCTATGTGTGTGTGTGTGTGTGTGTGTGTGTGTGTGTGTGTGTGTGTGTATATACATATATATATATATATGGGATACTGCTTCCTTTCTCTGTCTATCGGCTCATCACAAGAGACCATCACGACAGATAGCCATAATGAAAGCTGATGAGAGCTAAATAGCTTGAAATAGATCTATACTAGTCTCC